CTCATCCTCCTCCTCCTCCTCCTCCTCCTTCCTCCTCCTCGTCCTCCTCCTCATCCTCCAACTCGTCCTCGTCCTCGTCCTCGTCCTCGTCCTCGACCTCGTCCTCGTCCTTGTCCTCGTCCACAATATTGTCCCCCGCCTCCTCCTCCTCCTCTTCTTCGTCTTCTTCGTCGTCTTCTCCTTATTCGTCGTATTGTTGTTCTTATTCGTATTAGTAGTCTTAGTATTCTTATTATGTTTATTGTTATGTTTATTCTTCTTCTTATTATTACCATTATTAGTATTAGTCTTCGTATTATTCGTATTATTATTATTCGGATTCGTCGTATGCTTCATGTTCTTCGTATTATCCTTATTATTCTTATTAGTATTATTCGTATTCCTTGTATTAATATGATTATTCGTATTATTATTATTACTAGTATTATTTTTATGCTTATGATTATGATTATGCTTCTTATTATTCTGAATAGTTGACTCTTTATTATTCTGATTATTATTGTTATTATTATTCTGCTTATGCTTATTGTTATTATTATGCTTCTGCTTATGCTTATTATTCTTATTATGATTATTATTATTCGTCTTCTTCTTCTGCTTCTGTTTCTGCGACTTCTTCTTCTTCTTCGTCGTCTTATGATTATTATTCTTATGTTTTGTCTTATTATTCTTCTTATTATGCTTAATCTTCCTCCTTCCTCCTCCTTCCTCCTCCTCCTCCTCCTCCTCCCTCCCTCCCTCCCTGCCTCCCTCCCTGCCTCCCTCCCCTCCCTCCCTGCTCCCTCCTCCCTCCCTCCTCCCTCCCCTTCTCCTCTCCTCCTCCCTCTCCTCTCCTCCTCCTCCTCCTCCTCCTCCTCCTCCTCTCCTCCTCCTCCTCCTCCTCCTCCTACCTCTCCTCCTCCTCCTTCCTCCTCACTTCCTTTCTCCTCCACCCCTCCTCCCTCCCTCCTTCTCTCTCCCTCCCTCCCTCCCTCCTCCCTCTTCCTCCCTCCTCCCTTTCTCCTCCTCCTCCTCCTCCTCCTCCTCCTCCTCCTCCTCCTCCATTACTAATCGTCTCCTCCTCCCCCTTCTCCTCCTCCTTCTCCTCCTCCTCCTCCTTCATTCTCCATTCTCCTCCTTTCTCCCTCAGCTCGCGCCCCTCGGCTTCGCCGCGAAGTGGCGCCGGAGCCTTCGTGGGTCGACTCGCATAGCCCCCAAGGCATGCCGCCCTGGGCCTAGGGCCTGCACTTGCGGAAGGAAAAGTGCCAGGATATTTCGCGGCCTTTCTTCTGGAGGGTGATTCCAAGACACCTCCTCCTCCTTCTCCTCCTCCTCCTCCTCCTTCTCCTCCTCCCTCACTCCTGTGATTCCAAGACAGTTGATCAAACAGACAGCTCGAGGGTGAAACCTCCAGGGCGAATGCCGAGCTCGGCCTTGAGAGCCAGCTCCTGGCCCAACGAGAGCAAGGTGACCAGTAATGAGAAATGGATGCGCGTTTTCGCCACGCAAAATGAAAACATGCCAAACTCGCGATGGCAAGCTCAGAGGCATGATCAAAACTAGCCCGAGCATCAAAACCGGCCCGCTCCCGACACCGAGATGGCGAAACATCGGCGTTTTTGTTTGCGATAGCGGCCGTTACGGGCGCTGTCTGGGACTGGCTAGGACAAGCCAAGAGAGCTCGACGAGCAGATACTTCTTCGGATCTGCTACGGCAGAACGCGCACCAGGTTATGGACGGATAGCTACGCGCAACGCAGGGAGTTGCTGAACATATAATTAACGTGCAGTTGCTCCATTCTCTCCCCTTCCCCCCCCCCGCTTCCTCATCCTTTACCTCCTCTCCATTGCACTGCGAGGTGCTTCTCACAAGGACCGAAGCATGAACGAGTGAGTCGAAGGAGAGAGTTGGCCAGGCAGGCGGGGCCAGGCCGAAACGATCTGTTTGATTCCAGTTCTGTTGTCGATCCGTGCTCTGGGCTCGAGGGGGGGCCTCGTCCTTCTTTCGGGGGCGCGCAAACTTGGATTCGCGATCCATGGATTTGGCGCGCGGTCGCCAAATCCATCGATCGGGGGAGGCGCCCTCCCCAAAACACGGCAGGTGCCGCCTCGTTCGGCGGCGGAAATCCGCGATTTCCCATGGACACGGGGCCCGTCACAAATCCACGCCCCCTTGATCCATGTTTGCGATCGCCTGAATATTGCGTTGCAAAGCGCTTCGCTGCACAACAAGCTGGGGCGCATTGGGGATGTGCAGAATGGCGTGAGCCCATGAGATACACGCGTGCCAGCTCATCCTTACCAAAAAGCGCATTGCATTCTGGCTTCGGCACGATCGGGTTACGAACGAGAATCTCTGGTTGGGTGTCTTGAGCTGGAACACACACGCGGTTGGGACAACTTGCGGAACACGAGGAGGCCAGTTGCTGGATACACGCACGGATGGTTGGCATGCTTAGCCACACGAGGGCATACCCCCGGAAAGACATGCGGCCAATACCCAACTCTCGCCCAAACTGGC